CCCCCTCCTCCCGCTTTTTCTCTTGGGTGGGGCTGGGCGGGGGGGGGGCGACTAGGGGGACGACAGTGTCCCCTTGTGAGAAGGGAAGAACACCGGGTTCCGTCACCCCGAAATAGACCGCGGTGGTGCCCCACTGGCGATTTGGAACGCGTGGCACTCGGGAAAAGAGCAGCAGGGGCGCGACAGGGACACGCTGCCTCTCCCTTGTGCTTCCCGCCCCTGGACGACGGGGGTCCGAAACCGCCGGGACGGGAAGTGAGCCGCCAGGCCGCAGTGAGAGCGGGTCCCGCAGCCGCCTGCACCGGGGTGAAGCATGGCGGCCGCCAAGGTAAGCGTCGGCCCGTTGCCCCGGGGAGCGCGCCGATCGGACCGGGCCTGGGGGCGCGAGAGGCTCGGGCGCTCACGTGCCGGGCCGGTGCAGCGGGAAAAGCATAGAGAAGGGGGAGTGGGGCAGCTGTTCACCTTGCAGCAGCGGGAGGAGGAAGGTGATGGCCACTCCGGGCGGCAGAGGCGACCCATGCGCACCCCGAGGTCCGACCCTGCCGCAGAAACTTTGCAGTCTGCACCCTCCCACTTGGCGCGGGAGGGGAGCCGGTGCCTGACCGGCGCCCGGCGAGCTGAGCCAAGGCCCGCGAGGAGGACCGGTGCGCCTGGGTGGGGGAGGGACTGGGGTCAGCAGGTCCCCTGGGCCACCCCAGCGCGCTCCTGCCCCTGACCCCGGTTGTAGTTGACCCGGGCTGCTTCCAGAGGCCACAGTCCGGGCTGAAGCCTGATCCTCTTAGGTTTCCAAGGCTCCGCCCTCCCGCGGATGGAGAAGTCACCTTGACTTCCGTTTTCGAGGTGGCTTGAGAGTTGGCCTGCGCGAGCCTGCGGACAAACTCCAGAGGACCCCCACCCCTCAACCCTCACCTTTCCCATCCTTCTCCCCTCTGTCCCCATCTGACAATACTTATAGACCGGCCTCTGAGCGTTTGAGAGACTTCTTTTTAGAAATGACAAAACAGATTGTCCTGGGAGCCTGTAACTCCTGTGAAGTTCTACTTAAAAAGGATTCTGCATAATGTGAATCATTCACTAACCCAGAGGAAAGGTAACTCCTACAACTTGACCTTTCCTCTTTCACCATTTCTTGAAACCTGGACACCATTTCAGTCTATTTGGACTGCATTTCAAAACTTTTCTGGCAGGATACCATATTTAGTCCCAATCACTTGAATCATTGGAATTTATTGCTTTTAATTTTAAGTTCACAAAGGCAGCCCTTTAATCAAGCCTATGCAACTTCTTAGCTCATTTTAAGTGCAGTGAACTTAAATATACCCAACATTTCAAACATTTGTCCTTAATCAAAACTCTGTGATAACCCTCCAGAGGAAAACATGGCCAACACATCATATTCCTATTTATTCAAGCAAACTAATCACATTTGCAATGGAAATTGTAAGCAGACAAATATATTTAAATGCTGTTCTATGACTTAAGTTTCTCCAGGCTCCCCAAATCTGCAGGCTTCTTCATATTCCTAAACAATGTGGCCTAAGTGGCCCTTTTTTTTTTTCAGTAATTACTCTGAGTTCCATCCTCAGGAGCATGCTCTGGGTGTGTGTATGTGAGTGTGTTGTGTGTGAACACACAGGTATGTATAACTGTTTTAGGTCGATTCTCTGAGGATCACTGGGATTCATTTTTGGAAGAAGTAATGTTAACCCTTTCAAACCCAGTAGCCTTTGGCCTTTTTTGTTGCATTAAATTTGCATGCAATCAGTGTACAAGGCTTGTATGAATTAGTTCCCTCCAGCTGACTTCTTCTAGGTAGGAGTAGATACCCATACTTTACAGTCATTTTTATATCTGTAGATGAATTAAATAATTTTACTTAATTTTGGATATAAAATAATTGAGCAACCTAAATTGAGAAATATGCATATAATTGGAGTATAAGATAAGACCGATTAACTAGTATGAAATAAAATAAATGACATTGAAGCAGGCTTAACTTCTTGGTTGTATTTTTATTAAACTGTCATATCAATAGGTACATTTGAATTTTAGCCAAGTGAGAATCAGGGAAGATGAAACATTTCATTTTCACTCTTTGAGAACTTGTTTTTGTTTCTTTATTCATTTAAACTTGCCTTTTATTGGAATTTTTGATGGCTCACATTAAATATATATGCATATATTTATAATCTGACAAAACATCAAAATCAAGTCAGAGTAGATGAGAAAAACAGGATAAAGTAAGATGAAGCCAGGACTAAGGTTAGTGGAAAATACGGTCCTACTTGCTAGAGGTGACTGAATTTTCTAGCAGCCAAAGCAAGAGGAAACAATCAGTGAGGTCAATTACTTGGGAGAGAAGTTTCCTTGTACTGCTGCTCTCTGAGCTGAGGGCACTCTCTCCCCACGTCCCTTTACATGCTGTGAGCAAACGATTACAAACTCCCTCATGACCACTGCATATATGTCTATGGGTTCCATAAGGCCATTTCTTATGTACATCATTGTAGCTCAAGGGCAGTGCAGTAAATGTACTCTTAAAAGGTCCCAAAATGAGCTGTTCTGGTCTACTTTAGTCCAAGAGTGCCCCTTACTTAGTTGCCTTTGGGTACTATCCTTGTGGGACGATTCTGTCAACTGCTAGTCAGGGCTGCTCAGCCTGAGTTCATGGCCATGCTCTTTGCTTTTTTTTTTCTGGAGTGCAGATATTATTACATGTTGAACACAGAGCCACAGGTGAGAGGAGAATATGTCTCAAAAGCAATAGTACTTCGGAGGGAATGAATGAGGCATGAAGAAGGACCCATTGCAGTGATAGGAGGCAGCAGACGAAAGGCAGAGACGTGAGAACATGTGCTACATTTAGAGGGGGACTTGGCTTAGGAGGGGAATTTAGGAGCCTCAGTGTAAACCAGACTTTTTTAAGAACCACCTACATAGTGCCTACTTACACTTTCCCAAGTACTTTACATATAGTCAATTTTCACAACACCAAGAATTAAGTGTTCTCTATTTTTGTCCTTATATATCACAGGTCCACCTGTGATATAATTCATATACCATACAGTTCACCCATTTAAATTACACAGTTCAGTGGTTTTTCATATATTCACAGAGATGTGCAACTGTTACCACTGTCATATACCTGTGTAAAAAATTTAAGCTATTGTTCACTAAGGATTTGGGCTATTCATTTAACCTCCATGTTTTTCATATTTCCTATCTATAATAATATCCTCTAAAGAGGTTTGTTATTGATGATGAAATGTGATCGAGTTTTTTAAGGATATTCTTCAGATTGAAGTTTTCCTCTCCCTTATGTTTTGTAAAAACTGCTAGGCATTTGGTGATATAATAGAGCAGACCAGTTTTTGTGCTAGGCAGGAAGGAGTCTTTGAGTTGGTTTTATGCTACCATGATGATGGTATGTTTTTGTGGTTTCACTGATGTTTAGATTTAGGGTTTCTTAAATTGATAGAAGTGGCTAAGCTGGCTAAGCCTTGAGGTTTATATGACACAATGATCCTCACTCTTCCGCTCATCAATTCTGTTCACTTTTATCAGGTAGAGAAATGGAGTCCCAGAAAAATTTGAAATTGGTTCAAGTTCCCTTGAAACCTCTTTGCTTTTTGCACTGTTGTAGGGGTTCTCTGCATGTCATAGTCATATAAAAATGCCATTGCCTGGGTCTTACCCAGAGATTCTGATTTAATTGCACTTCGGTGTGTCCTGAGCCTCCAGGCTTTTAAAAGCTTGCCAAGCAAATCTAATGTACTTCAAAGGCCACCCCTCTAGGTTGTTTTCGTGCTCATTGCTTCAGTTCTCTGGTGGCTCCTTTTTGGGATAAGGAAGGAATGCAGTGAGATAAATGGGAATCCTTGGTTATGTCGATGCAAAAGAAGACATGTAGGGGTGCCTACAAGTTCTCTTCTTTCTTGACAGTTTCTTTTCAGTCCTTTTACCCCATATCACCTTGGTGCTTAGGCATCAAGTTTATACAGTTTTGTAATTATCCCAGAATATAGGTTTTATCACCAAGTGATTGGAAACTCCTTTTGCCTCCTGTGAAGTTTCAGTGGTTTTCCAGATCAGAGTAGGTGCTTGAGAAGGGAAACATTGCAAAGAATGACCCTGATCTTGCAGCCTGATCCCCTGGGGAACCTAATTTGGTGTGGTCAGTATTCTCCAGGTAGGTCATGTGGCTTTACAACCTTTGGTCAGTAAATACAGAACAGGGAGGTGGGAAGGATTCAAAGTCAGGAGGAGCGCTGGCTGCTTCTGCTTCTTTGACCTTTTGCCCTATGAACAGCCTGTTTCTGTTGAGTTCTTAAAGGGAAACATTCCTTCCTGTGTCCTCCATCACCCACAATCATTAGGCCTGCTCAGCACAGTTCCTACCTACTCTCCTGCTTCAGGAGCACCTATCCTTCCCGCCCTTTCCTTGGTTGCCTTTGGTGGGGCCTTGGAACAGAGGAATGTGTGAATGTGCGGGTACCTGTTGGTTCTGCTTGAGAGTAAGGAGGGTGTGCCATGTCACAGTGATATAATTCCCTTAGCAAAATATTTAACAGCAACTGAGGAAACCTTTTTTTTTTCCCATGGCCTGTTTAACCAGACCTTTTTGGGTCAAACTGACCCAGTTAATGGTGGTTTTGGTCTGTTAGGTCAGAATTATTCCCAATGGCTGACGTGTAGAGTGGTGGTCTGGTTCGTTGATTGGAAATGTTTAAGAGATAGAGTATTCATACTCACTATTTCCTTTGGAAATTTGCTGTGCCATTGCATGAGTGAAAATAGACCCGGATGGTTCCTTTTGACTTTAGGTGCTGACAACATGGCAAAGTAGGCAGTGTTGAAATTCTTAGCAATTCAACTTAAATAAACCACTCTATTTAATGACTGTTATTAGGCTGGTAGCTTTGTCTTGATTTCCACATGTAGTCAGTTTCCACATGTTATCCATGAAAACTGCTGACTTGATATGAGTCAGATATTTCAAGATACACTTACTGTTTGATGGTAAAACATCTTTCGCCTAATGCTTGTGCAGTACAATTTGTAAGAAAATTGTAAGTGGAAAATATAAGTAAATATAGGGGAGGAAACAATTTTCCGCGACCCTCCTAATGTCCCTGGCTGCCCTTGAAACTTAAACCGACAAAGACAAATTAACAGGAGACAAGGCATACCATGTACACGGGCACCCTCACAAGAGAATGAAGACCACAAGGGTGATCAAATAAACAGTAAATTTGTGGAGAATTGGCAAGACAAAGATAGGTTAGGGGTAGTGAATGGTGAAGAAAGAACTAGGAAGATGAGGGCTAA